AAGACTAGCGTGCTTATGGGTACTTTCTGATATCCTGTCATGTTGGGAGCTTGTCATGCAATGGGTAATCTTTTACAGCTATCAGCTAATATCCGTGTATTATGTAAGGTAATGGAGCCTAATAAATCTTAACGGACTCTTTGCAGTAGTATTGAGCACAAGCAAAGAAAGGGTTGGATATGGGAAAGATTTCTGCTGCCCCCTACCCCCGGGTATACATGATGGTATCACAGTAGAAGAATATGGAGAGAGAAAAAAAAAAAAAAAGTAAAGATTGGTGGCTGATGGTGGCAGAACTTAAAGGGCAAAAGAAAAGGATTAGGGCATAGTGATAAAAGTGGAATCTTCTTAATACAAAGACTTGTAAATAAGTTGCTTGTAGTTCTGTTCGTATAGTGATAAGCCATTTCTGGCCTGCTAGTCTCTTTCAAATGATCAGGTTATGACTTCCCAAACACGAGGTTGAGAGTCAACTACTGACTAAGGAAATGTAGACTGCAGAAGAGAGAGCTGAGGTTCACACACCCACGGATCTTCAGTAATAGCAAAACCAACACAGGGCTTCTTGGCAAATCAAATAGCCTTTTTTTTTTCCCTATAAATATTCTTTTTCGCTTGTTCACTTTGTTCCAGTATCTAAGGCATAAATTCCTGATTCTTTGTATATTGCTCATAAAGAATGTTAGAATCCTTTGCATACCTTTTTTCCATTGCATCTTATTGGGCTAATGCAGATTTCCTTTCTTCCTTCCCCGTTTTAGGATGGCTAGGGAGAATAGAGGGCAGATTGTGGCAGCCATGTTAACTATACTAATAATTATTGAGTGTTAGAGAAAATTAAATGCAGATTTATGTTAGTGATAAACATGCAATTATATTCAGAATAAGTGGCTGTTCCTTTTGCAGAATGACTCTTACAATCACTAGGTCTTTGGAGCTAGGTTTTAGAAGCACTCTTCTGTGTAGGTTGTCTCTGAAAATACGTATTAAAGCAAATATAAATATTTTAGGGAGGTTATCTTAAACAAAGTTCATTAGATACGAAAGTTGACTGCTACTTCTGCATTGATTTTACGAATACAGTTAGGCATGCGCTCCAGCACTAGTTCTGAGGAAATCTGTTCTCATAAATCACTGACAAGATAAAGGCAATTAGGTCACCTATATGGCTATTAATACGTAGGTTTATAATAGAATCATAGGAAATAGAGTTGGCTAAGATCTATAAGGTCATTTATTTCATTTTTTTGGGTTCATTTAGAACATAGTGCAGACAAGCTGAAATTAACTCCTCCCTAGAAGTGACTAAGTCAAGGTAACTTTGCTTACTTATAATGTCTGTATGCAGGGTTGGATGCTCTGATAAAAGGGGAGAATTTCTCAAGAGATCCTAGGGGGCTCTCACCTTCAAGAGACTGCGCCAGCTTTCAAAACATATTAAGGCAGGGAATGGTAGTTTGTGTCTGAACTAACAGTCTCATGGATGTTGCACAGAGATGCAACACCCTCAAGATGGCTTCACCCTCATTATGTTTTTTTTTTCCTATGTATTTTGCAGATTCTTATTTTGAGTATGTTTTTTGTTTGGCTTCTGTAAAACAACTGGTTTGTTTAATGTCAATGACAAATTATAACTGGATAGCAGTTACAGATGTGTATATACTATTACACAAAGTGATTATGTGCATTTATTCTGTACTTATTGTCTTATGGAAAAGGGAAAGGCACTCATTTTATGCTTTAAACAAATTTTTGTTTAATACTAGGAAGTGATTTACTGCTTTAGCTAAGCCTTAAGTCTTAGTTGAGCATGGAAATTGGGGACCCTAGGATTTATAAATTTATAAACTTAAGCCAGTGCCGTTGGTTGTGTCCTGAAATGATTTCATAACCAGGGAGTTTTTGAGATACTGCTGAAATATGTTCCGTACATGCAAGTCCACTAAGTAACTTATATGCGCACTTATATGTTAGACTAGCTGAGTTTCTTTATAGAAGTTTAAATAGAGGAGACTGGTTCCATCCCTTGTCCAATACAGGTTTAATCCCTGTAGTGATGTCACAGAAAGCTGGTTTGTGATGTGGGTTTTTTCCACCAGCTTTGACGTTTTGGAAGAAAAAGCTTTTAAACCAGTGCTTTGTGTTCTGCTTCTAGCTGTTAAATGACACTTTAAAGCAGGTGAGGCCAAAGCTTTTCAACCTCCTTTGAAGTATCAAGCTTATTATTGCTTGTGCAATGCACAGAGCATGTGTGTGAGTAAAACGGCTACCCATAGGAGGCTGTTGTCACAAGAATAAGGTATGTGGCCCTCCTTTGCTGGCTTTTTCCCCTCATTTCAGGGTCCTGTGGTAAGAGCTAGGCACTGGATTATAACTGTTCTGTTAGTAGCAGGCCACTACCAATTGCCATTTTTGACACACGATGAGGGAAAGGTCATGAAAACACCAGGATAAAATGTTGATCAGGCACAGGCTATCACCATCAGAACAGTTGTGGCAGCCTGTTTCTGATTTGCTTCCAAAAATACAATAACGATGAATAGGCTGAAGATATGTGAATTGTCCTGATGGGCTGCATGCAGCTTGTAGGATGCTGGTTAGGCAGGCCTCTTCTAGTAATTTTAGCTAGAAGAGAGGCCTGTCGCTTGTGATTCAAAGCAGGAAATAAGTTGGAGGTGTATGACACATGACTACTTCAGTATTTTATGTTAAGTGCTAGTGCAAGTTGAACATGACTTAGGCTCAAGATCTCGTTTTAAAACGAGTTATGTGTGTTTTAAGATGATGCTAGAACATGCGTAACTTCAGAATCCACTGACGTTCTGTTTCTTTGCAAGAGTGTCATAAGTTTCTTTTCCTCTCTTGTCAGGTTTATCTTCGCAATCTTGGCATTGATCAGTCACCTGGATCTATACTGACTCCATTTATACCCCGAGGACCAATTAGGGAGGTTGAATTTTCCCCTTCAGAGCTTAGAACGCTGAAGGACTCCACTGACACGCTTAGGAAGACGGCTCAGCGGCCACGAGGTATTGGGAAGGAAGGCCTTGTGTTGTGCAAACCTTAGAGGATACTGAACCACAGATACACCTGTGAGGTTGCTCCTGGCCTGCTAGTGTCAAATGTACTTCTCATGTGGTGCTCTTTCATTCATTCAGTACGACCTTAACAAGCATTGGGTCATTTTTATATCAAGAACAGTGTGTGCTCAGGTAGAGTTAAGATACGCTTCAGGGGCATGCTTTTGTAGTATGTCAATAATATGTTAGAATGTGCATTATACCATACTTAGTTTTGTATGTTCCTTAGCATATTTTGTCCTCTTTTGTTTTGGCGTTTGCATCTTGTACCCCGCAGGGGAGAGCCGATCTGAAGTCTTTTCACAGTGAATACCTGTCTTACCCCTGAACGTCTGTGACTTTTCAAGAAAACTGTGCTGACCTGTCTTTCTGAGCAGAAGTGATCAGATGCATCTCTTTCTCATGCCTGTCAGGCTTTCTTGCTTGTGTGTGTGTTTATATACGTGTATATTTATATATTGTTTTTTTCCTTCTTTAAGCATTATTCAAGACTTGGCAAAGGAAACAACTTGGCAACCAGTATAGGGACACAGTTTTCCTCAGTACAAATGTTATTCAGCTGGTCTGTGTGGTGTTCTTAAAGATATCAGTGGTTGGGCCATGAAACAAAGTTGTCTGAAACAAAAAATAGCTGTTGTTAGGCATACTGGGGAGTTAGCTCTTGATTGGTGTCAGAAACTGCCAGTAGGGATTTAAGAACAGCATTTGCACTTAAGTACATTTTTGTAAAGCAATTAAGTTTTTTATAGCCAAATATGCATCTTGTCTGCTTTTGGACCTTTCTAACAAGTAGTGGGACATACAATTATCGATAGGCTGTCCTTTGTCCAAAAATGTTTTAGGAATACTGCCCCACAGCACTTCTGTTTCTTGCAGGGATCCTTTTTTAGTCCAAGTGTTCATTTGGACATACAGGGATCAATATGACCTTTATTTAAGAACTTTAGTTTAAAATTTATTTCAAGCATTTATTTAAAAACAAGTTATTTAAAAGCAAAATTCTGTAATTTGCTTGATGTTTATCCAAAACGGTCTGAGAGATTTCTTTCCGTATGGAAATCCTATCTCAAAGTGCAATTCTAAGGACGGTTTCCTACATCCTCTCTAATATTTGAAAATTTTCCCTCCTTTACAAGCTCTCTAGTACAAGAAAAGTAGTCTTTATTGAGGTGAATATTTTTCAGAGCCCCAAACTTAATGAATCTTCTGTTTCTTTGTAGATGACTTGCTGGCTGCTGTTGACATTACACAAACAAGTTTTAACTCTGGCACTTCTACTCTCAGTATGTCTATCCCAATGGGTTCAGAAGTTGGCTCTGCTATTTTGTTACCCAGTGAACTCTCTCCTTGCTTCTCAAGATCTTCTGGAGACAGACCAGTGAGTCAGTGCAATATTTCATGCCACCAGCAGGAGCTAACTGCCTCCCATTGTGTTGAAAGCAGAGCAGAGGATTCAGCTGTCTCCAAATTAGCAGAACCAAATCAGCAGCTGCAGACAGTCTCACTTGACTGCTGTTCTGATGGAAAGAGTCCCATGCTTGCTGCAAAACATGTTCGAGATCTGGTGGCTAAAAATGAGTCAAAAGAGGTGAATAGTAGTCTACAGAGATGGCCTGCAGGTTGTTTGGCTGGAGTTAAAAATGAAATGGAAGTTGTGATAGGATCACAACCTTCAAGTGTAGGTACTTCTGTTAATGAGAGAAATAAAGATCAAGAAAGTGATTCCTTGATTGGATCTGATGCATTGAAAGAAATACGTAAGCTTCTAGCAGAGGCAGAGGATATAGCTGGCAGCTGGTGTGACCCTATCATTTCCACTGCCTCTTCTAGAGAAACTGTTGACTCTTCCCCAGTGCTAATTGAAAAGGAGGATGACCCCAAAGATTCCAGGATTGTAAAAGACAACGTCCCTGAATTTCGGAGGCTATTGTCATGGGATGAAGCTACGACCCGCAGAAGTATGCAAGAAGAGGGGTCAGTAATAAAGGCCCTGAATTCTTACCACGGCAGTATGAGATGGGGAAGTTCTCTTGATGTCGCTGTACACAACAGCGAAAAGATGATGCAGGAGATGACCAAAGAGTTTAGGACAGGAAAATCTGTAGGAAGGTCTGAGCCAGAAGGCTGTAGTAGTGCAACTACAGACAGAAACGTACCTGCTTTTGTGACTGCACAAAGTAATGCAAGTAATGAAGTGAGCACTGGAAATACTCCAGAGCTCGTGAATCCTTCTCCATCGGAACCTCTAGGATGCATCAGCGATGCCCTGGGAGACTTCCAGAGTGTCTTGGCTAAAGAAGCTAGTGTAGCTGGCAGCAAGGAGGGAGGAGTTGGAGAGAATGATAACAGTAGCAGCGGAGATTCACTAGCTGCCCGTGTCAGAAACCTTCTCAGAAGTGGGTCGCCTGCAATACGTGCAACACAAACTTTAAGAAGTGCGGAGGAAGAGGAGAGGAAAGCACGAGGTAATGCAATGCCTCAGTTGTGTTTAACGAAGTTTTATGTCAGAATGCTGAATCTTGATTTGGGTATGCATATTAGAGATTGCTTTAAAGTGCTTTTGAAGTGAAAGAGTATGGGTGTAGAGGGACATCTTGGATCATTTGAGTCTGTTCCTCTGATTTGAAAGGTACTTGTATCGTAATGGAGCTCAGTAAAAAAATAACTGGCTCCCTTCCCCTCCCCCTCTAATCTTCTTACTGGGAGGCTATTCTAGACCTAGTTGTCAGTCTCAACAGGGTGAGCTTGTACCTATTTGTCCCTTGGTTAGCGTTGTTCTTTGGGTAATATCTCGTCATCTTTTTGTTACTCTTCTGCCATCCTTCTGACTACTCATACCTCTGAAAAGAACAGCTGTATCTCTTTTCAGTCTTCATTTTGCAAGGCTTAAATGATCAATGTCTTTTAATTGTCTTAGGTAGCATATTAGAATGAGATATACCTGTTGTACTTTTCCAGTTTGAACGCCTTTTTTGCCTAATGTTAATAACAAAGCGTTGATATGAAAAAAGTGTTTTGTGCAAAATGTTATTTGCCTGCATAGTTGTTAAAAATGTGATAGGTTAAGAAATTGGGGAGAGGATTGCGTGAAAGAATATTGACTCGAATTAGAGCCCATAAAGATGACGTCAGAACCAGGCAACGGCTTCTGGATCCATCTTTCCAAAGGAATGTTCAGAAGACCAAGTTTAAATTGTGTTCTTGGTCACTCGGCTCTGGTATTTGGCAGTGATCTTTGTTTCTTCGGTCGTGGTAGCTAGAAATGCATAGCATAATTTTGATTTTAAGTTATAAAACTGTTACCATATGTGATGTGGGAAAATGAAAAGGGGACTGCTTTCTGTTTTACTTTCTGTGTAGCATGGGTGAAGCTAAAACTGGCCAGTCGATCTCAGGAATCTGTGTCAGAGCTGAGCGAAGAGGACCGACGAAGAATAGAGGAGATCAAGGCAGAGCTGCTTCTGAGTGCCAAGAAATCTGGACTAGCCAAGGTACAGAAGATGCAGAGCAGCCTGTTTGGGGGAAAAACATTTTAAATGGTGGCTAAATGCTACCATCTTGCCTGTTGTCCTAAAGAAATGAGGCTACTGTGATGGTCCTGTCAGTCCTTTTCAACAGTGCTTGAACCTGTTGCATTTTCAGGGCACCAGAAGTTTCCAGAATTATATTCCTACAATATTTTTAAAGACTGGTAGCGCGTTAGAGCTCAGGTTAATTTGTGTATCTCTCCTCTATTTAGTGCATACCCTTATTTTGTGTTTGGGCCTGGTATAGTCAGTTCCTGTGTTTGTCTTTGGACCTGCTGTGGCGTGTGCTGTTTTTTCCCAGCCAGCAGTTGGATGCAGTAGAAGAGAGGGAGGTGGTGGGGGAGGGAGAACTGAAGATGCTCTGAAGGAATGAGGGAGGGAGAAGTGGTCAAGGGTGATGTGATGGGAGAGTTAATGTTATCATGGCCAGAAGGTGCGCACAGGTCACAATGCCAGTAGGCTTAATTAGTTCTGCTTTTCACAACACATTTGTCCATGTGGAGATTGTCTTGTGAACTCCTCCTCCTGTGAAGGAGGACATTACACAAGGTAATACAGTTGTCTAAGTGACAGCAGTATTTGTTGTATTACTGCCCATGTGTTCTAAGAAATAATGTGATGTTTGTATGAGAAAGGTTGCTTTGGGGAAGAAGGCAGTAAATTGTTCCTCCTTTGCACTTTAAGCCCATTACCTTTGATACACAAAGAAGAGTGTTGCTATTAGAAAAGAACAGCTTCAACAATTAGGATGATGAGAGCAGACTGCTTAGGAAGATTATGGTGTGTTAATCATAGTATGTTTTAAGAATAGGTAAGGTGAGTATCTATAAAGAATAATGTAAGTATAGTTAGTGTTGAGTTGGGGCAGGGATATAGGCTAGATGAACTTTGTCTCTTACAACACCCCCTTTTTTTTTTTTTTTGAATGAAGACTTGCTATTGAACTGCTGTCAGGTCTTGTGAATGTTGTTTGGAACACTTCTGGTTCACATATTAATTCATCCTGATTGGAATTTAGTTAAGCTAGAATATATTGCTTGACTTCAAATATGCATTTTCTGCATTTTTCTGAGGTCCAGGCTTCTCACGTCATGCTTTTTAGTGGCTGTCCATGTGTCCCGAGATAGAGCACTCTTCACAGAGAGTGTTTTGAGCAATAAGCACAGACTGGAGGAAATGTGGAGATATTTGTAAGAGAAGATGAAAATGGATGAGTGATGTATTCATGCTGCGCAGGGTAGAGAACCCTGAGGTGGTGAAAGAGAGACTTGATAATTAGCCAGACCTTAAGGTTGGGGCACTTTCTGAGGAGAGTAGCATAGAAAATTCGTGTTTGAAAATGCAATCATAATCTGTCCTTAGTGTGGTGTTTCAGACAAATGACCTTAGCGTTAACAGTATCTTCTACTTTTTCTGTAGATTGGCTGCCTCTTGGCAAAAACAATAGAAAAAAAGCCTTGCATCAACTAGGGGGAAAAAAAAAAAGAAATTGTCTTTGAAGTACTCCCATTTATGTTTGCAGTTTGTTAGGCACTAGTTTGGACATTAGTTCTGGAAAAAAAACATCAGCCCAAACTTTTGAGTTATTCAGGTATTAATATAACCTTCTATTTGGAGAGCCTAAAAAATTAATTTAACAATTTTATTTGTTTTTGGAAATTCAGTCAAAGGGTTCTTCCCATTAAAAAAAATACACAAATACATCTTTACTTCAATCTGCTGATCAAGCTAGAGGCCCTGAAACTTTTTTTTTTTTTTGTTTTACTTTAGATTTTGTTAGACTACAGCTTTGGTCCTAGTCTATAACAAATCAGAGTTAGGGGCAAACAGTTTTACAAAATATTCATTAAAAAAAAAAAAAAACCCAAAAACCAGAGAACAAAGATTAGGAGAAGGAAAATGTCTGTTTTTTTTTTTAAATTTTTTTATTTTATTTTAAGCTTTAAAGACTGACAAAGGCAGGCTTTTCTTAGTGTTCATGCAAACAATTCTTTTGTCAGAACATAGTCTTTGTTTACTGCTTCTGATCCAATCTTACTATGAAGACTGTTTTTAGAAAGTTTAGGCTTTGCCTTTCATTTTTTAGAAAGTTTAGGCTTTGCCTTTCATTTTTACAGGTGAAAACTCAAGAAATATAATGTACCACCATATTTTATTTTTTCCAGCAGGAAACATGAGGCTTTTCTATAAAGCAGAAAATGCAATGAAGGAGCGGGACAGCTTGGGAGAATTTGTATCGGGAATCTATCTAACTTTTACTTCTGAACATTGCTCCATCGCACTTTTGGCATAGTATAGTGTTGTTCGGTATTTGTTAGTCAGTTGTGACGTGTTAAGTAACAGTTACTCGAAAAAAATAAAAAGTATTATAATGATTTCTCAAGCTCTAACTGGTCAGAGTGCTTAACAGTGTGATTGGGGCATATGTATGTAATCATGCTGCAAGCATTTACTGAAATGCTCGGCTGAATTGTGGCCCTCAAAAAGTACCATTCAATATGAAATCGGCATTTCGTTTTGAAGATGTATCCCTAATAGCAAGTAATGTTTATGACTCTAACTCAAAGTCAGGATTTTATTTTGTTTTCTGTTCTGTAAAACTGACAAACCTTGCACAGTGAATCTGTTTTCTATTCCTTCAAATTGTGAGGTTCCTCTGATTTTATAGCTCTTCCATTACACAAGGTGAGAAATACCCTGGAAAAGCTCAACTGTGTAAGTAATAAACACTAAAACGTGGCAAGGATGCTTAGGAATAGATAGCAAATATGGAACTTGTGACTTATTTTAAATTGCCTCCATTTCATATTGATCCTTTCTAAAGGTCTTGACTGGCCGTTCATGGAAAGGGAAGGCGCAGGTCCTACTGAGGAGAATTGCCCAGTAGTTTTCTTTTTTTTTTATCTCTCTTGGTAGATAGGCCTTTGGCGAATGGTGTCATTTCGGTCATGGTAAAAATAAATTAGGAGACTGAAGTAACAGCAACTCATGATTCCTAGGAAGCAAGCAGGACGCACCACATTCTTTCTGAATAGGGCTGAATCCTTTAATACCCGTACACTGCCATCCTACATAATCAGTGCTTGTAGAATTGAGTTATATTTCAAAGGAACAGCCGTCAAAGAGTATGGATTTATTAACTTTGCAAATTTTATGTAAAGTGGCCTAAGAAATGTTACATTACAGATTGTCCAGAGACAAGCCTCATGAGATTTAGGATTAGCTGATAGCACTGTCCTATAAACTTGTTTAGAACACTGTTTGTGGTAAAGGGGAGGCAGGTGGTTGCCAAGACATGCCTGTAAATATGTTGCTTTTTTGATGGATAATATTCAGTGTCTGTAGCTGTAGAAGTCTGATTTTAGTCTGAGCAGGTAAGTTGGCAGAATTTTTTTTCTTTTATTCAAAAGAATAAAAACTTCTTTTTGGAAGTTTAGTGCTAGGATGGGTGATGCTCTTCAGTCACAAAGAGCAATAGAACAAGAGGAAGTTAACTGAGATTTTTAAGAAAAGCATATGAAACATCAATTCTGGTCTTCAAAAATCAACTTGGTTACTCTTCTTCTGCCTAAATATATTCATCAATGACCTGGAGGAAGGGACAGAGTGCACCCTCAGCAAGTTTGCTGATGATACTAAACTGGGGGAAGTGGCTGACACACCAGAAGACTGTGCTGCCATTCCGAGGGACCTGGACAGGCTGGAGAGGTGGGTGGAGAGGAACCTCCTGAAGTTCAACCAAGGCAAGTGCAAGGTCCTGCACCTAGGCAGGAAGAACCCCACGCACTGGTACAGGTTGGGGGTTGATGTGCTGGAGAGCAGCTCTGCCGAGAAGGACCTGGGAGTGCTGGTGGACAACAAGTGAAGCATGAGCCAGCAATGCACCTTTTTGGCCAAGAAGGCCAAGGGGATCCTGGGGTGCACTAGGCAGAGTGTTGCCAGCAGGTGGAGGGAGGTGATCCTGCCCCTCTCCTCAGCCCTGGGGAGGCCTCA